ACATAGAAAGTCTATGCTCAGCTGAAGCTGATGTTAACAGAGTTGTTAAATAAAGAAGTAGAAGCTTGTGTATTTCTGAAAAAAACTAATAAAAGTGTGTTCTTAGAAGTTAAGCTAGTGTATTAATTGTTTTATGAAACGAATCATCACACAATATGCACACATACAAGGATTACCTAAACTAAAGTCTATAGTGTTGATAATAGTAATACATGTACATCACTTAAAGTTGGAGGGGCTAAGCCCCCCTTCAATGAAAGTTGGGGGGGCTTAAGCCCCTCCTGCCCCCCCTGTTCCTACCCCTATGTCCCATGGTGTGTTTACTGTGTTGTGATTACCTGCATAAAACAACATGGCTACGTATTCTTTTCAGGTTCATCAGTTTTGTACTAATGTACCACCACTAATGAACATTACATTGAAAGGGTGTACTAAGGATAACTGGTTATTCAACAACAAATGTATCCATAAGCAATAGTTCTTATAATAACATTTCACTTGTTGTTCAATTTCCATCAAATAAGACACTGAATACTAATGCTACCTTGTACTATCAAAATGGAGTTACAGTTCAAAGCAACACTATAACAATCAGTAAGTAATACACAATTAATACATTATGATATTTACTTATTTTAAGGTACTCAGCAATTTACATTGATTAATGTTTCATCAAATTCTGTTTGTCTTCAGTTTCAGTTTGTCAATGGCAGTAAACCTAATATTGATAGTATTCTGATTATTGATAATCAAGGTTTGATTCATTGGGCTGACAATACATTTCCTAATGATTCATTGAACTTTATTCATTGTATCAATGGCATACCAGCAGGTAACAACTTAATACTGTATGCATGTCGTTATTGGTCGAATCTTGATGAATGTACTACTAATCCTCTTGCTGTAATAACTGGTATTAATATTACTAATGACTTTACATCTTCAGTTCTAATGTCATCAGTTCATTCATCATCAGTATCACTCACATCAACAGTATTGACTACTCCATCATTGATGTCTGTACCATTGATAATATCTACTTCACCAGTAGTTTCAACTACTTCTACTTTTATAATTAGAACTTATTCAACAGTTACAACTATGCCATCATCTACTTCAATTACTTCATCAATGATGTCTTTGCCAACAAAAATGCCTACTTTGCCTGTACCAATTCCATCATTGATATCTGAATTTAAAACATTTCTTTCATCTGTGCTGACTGCTTCAACTACTTTATTAGTATCAACTTCTTCAAAAGTACAACAAGTTACAAGTAGCTCCATCATAAGCAGTACTACAGATACTCCTACCATTAGTAGTTCTACTTCTATTCATACCACTAGATTAACTAGTACATTAGTGACAGGTACAGTGTATGTTCATTTGTGTAGTTATAATGTACTTTATTGTATACATAGGTACTTTAACTGCTTCATCTCCATTACCTTCCTCCATTACTTTACCAATCCTAACTCCTTCATCTTCATCAAAGTCTTCTTTATCCATTACTTCACAAACTTCTTCATTCAAAACTTCATCTTCAGCCTCAACTCCTTCATTGACAGCTCCTTCATCCGTATCTTCTTCACCATCAATTATTCAATTGGTTTCTGGGATATTAATTGCACTACTAATTATAATAGTTGGTATGTACATTATAATCAAATGTTGTCATTAATTTGTATATTGTAGTTGCTACAGTAATTGTAGTGGTAGCAGCAACAGTTCGATTCAAAAAGAGAAGAGGAAGAATGGAAGTGATTAATGACATTACATTACTGAAGAAGAATGAAAATAATAATCAAAGTACTCTAATTTGTTTATTCATTTATAAACAAGGTTTACTTATAGGTTCACAAGAGCAAGAACTATCATCAGTTAATCCACAGTATGAGAATGTACATCTACCAGTTCCACAATCAGAACTATCAATGGAAGAATGTGCTGCTTATGGTGTAGTGGAAGGTACCAGATTCCCACAGTATGAGACTGTAGATCTACCAGCTCCACAGTCAGAGAGAGACTATGAAGTACCAGTAAAAGAATGTGCTGCTTATGGTGTAGTAGAGAGTGCTGGATTCCCACAGTATGAGACTGTAACATTAACAGTTCCTCAGTCGGAACTATCAATGGAAGAGTGTGCTGCTTATGGTGTAGTAGAGGGTAATAAACTTTAGAGTTAGTGTGTGTGCTGGACTGGGTTCGGTAAATTTTAACAATTGAAAAAATTTCATTCAAAAAATTTAATACCATTGTAAACATTACTATATATGGTTAGTTTCCACATAGAATAGTAATAT